TGTGTGTGTGTGTGTGTGTGTGTGTGTGTGTGTGTATAGGTAAGTGTGAAAGAGTGAAAGCCAGAGATAGTCCAGTGACATTCATCATTAAAAAAAGTCACTTAACTGTTTCCTGGCACACCACTGGCCCTGCGGTTGTACACGAGGTATCTATTTTCACATGCTAACATTCTTATATATTTAGATATCTTGAATAAGTGGCGTACTGAAGCCACTTTTCCTCAACCTTGCGCGTCTTCTTGTATTTTATTGCGCAATTTCCGATCTTTGCTTTAGCTACTAATTAGAAACATGAAGTTGGAATTACCTCCTGACTTAAATAATGTCTTGTTATCCTGTTTTATGGTCTGTTGATGCTGCCCACAGTATATAATGTATTATTACATTCTTGTATTCCTGGCTTCACTCGAAAACCGGGATAAGATGTCATATTCTCGACATCAAAGGTACTTATTCTCTTGAACAAGCAATATCATCTTACAAGATCAAAATTTCTTCCTCACTTTCAATGTTCACAATTTCAAAGAATAACATTTAGCTTTGCATTTGCATCCCAGCCATACACTTGGGTGATTCTTTATATATTGCATTGTGTAAAAATATTGCTCTCCAGTCTTGACAGAGAGAAGGTGACACAACAAATCTTCTTTGACACTTCCAAGATATTTCTGTCGATGACTGCAGCATCCAAGAGGCAAACCAATAAATTGACAGTGATTTATGTCGCAAAGGAGCTTATAAACATGTTCTTATCAGTAACGGAGTCAAAAAACGGCACTTATCTGCTCAGCCTTGTTTTAAAGCACTAAGGATGAGATTCTGTGGAAAAGGTTGCGTCTATTTTGAAAGGATCACAGAAAGCTGACGATGAATTATTAACAATAACCTCCAACCTGCGCTATCAAATATTGTCAGTTCTGAGATGGAGCAAATTTTTCTGTCCACAGCAAATAGGTCCCCCAAGGGGGGGGGGAACAAAAAGGAGTGGAAGAAGAGGGGATAAGCGGAGGAGTAGCTGAGCTGCATATCTATCGGGAGATCAGAGTATGGGGCTAATCTGGTTTAAACGGCTGCTCAGCAAGGCTGAACAGTCCTCCGGGGTGAAGGGAATATGGCAGGGTGGTGTGTTGGCACCCGCAGTTGAGTTTCAGCTCTAACTTTAGGGGAGTAAGACAAAATCAAGCAGTTTTATTCATTCTGCTCTACCTTGCCCAATGAGCAATTAGCATTTCCAATCAGCGTTCCTTTTTTTAGATAACCATGCTCGTCAGCAGACCATTCATTAAACCCACATAACCCACATGTCTAGAACACTAGACATATCAAGTGTTCTTTAATTCAAAGCTGTGAATAGTTTGTTAAATGGTAAATGGTGCTCTAAAGCCAGTCTGTTTGACTGCTCGGAATCAAAGAGAAAATTATACTTTTGGTTTGTTTTGTATTTAGTCTGGTTCGGTTTCACAGTGCACAAATTAAAGCAACCAAATTTGCTGAAGGTTGTGCTGTGGAGCGAATTCATTCTTTTTCATTTTGAGAGCTGCCACTTCTATGCAGGGATTTGCACACAAAAATTGCCATTTTGTTTTTTTTATTTTGGCTCGGCACTGATCTTTTGTGTGCTCAATTCCCCTCTCCTCCTGTTTATCTTGAATAACTATAAACCCCACTATTTGTGTAACTCACAGAGCGCTGTTCAAAGACAGGTTGCACAGGCATGTGAAGAAACACTATTGAGGAGTGTCACCGTTCGTTTGGGGAGAACCCTGAATGATACAGGCGCAGAAAGCTGGAAAGAAGAACATGCAAGGGAATATAGATATTAATTATGTTCGAGGAGCTGTTGAAGTGTTGTCCAGAGACCTAAAGGTTGTGCCCCTGATTGATAGACTACAGTATATATTATAGTATGTGTTGAGAAATAGGTGTACGGAAGTAGAGAACGGCCGTGCAAGCAATTGTTATCTCAAGGTTAATTTTAGATCTCTGTCAACTCGATAACAATATAAATCAACTCCTTTCATTGTGCAAACACAAGGTTGTTTCCTCTTATTACTTATTCTGTTTATCGGAGATAAGGAGTACCATGCCAGCATCAATAGATGACTGTGGTCGAGCCAAGATTAGGTTATAACACTGATTTAAATCACGGTAACTGCTTGGTGTTATTACTATCATAACTATTATAACAGCACTTTCATCATTGTCTGTTTTTTATGGCGCCGCTTCAGGGACCGCCGTGGCCGGGGGCATTTTGTTTTCAGGGTGTACGTCTCGATGTCCGTCCCATTCTCGTGAGCGTGATGTCTCTGGATTGCCTTTGTGGGAATTTCTTCAAATTTGGCACAACGGTCAAGGTCACTGTGACTTCACAAAAGACATTTTTGACTTGAATTGATATGCTAATTATGTCAATTGCACATTGACAACTTGACTGGTTGGCGAAGGCATACGACCACAAGGTGGTAATTCTACTTTCCGTATTTATTATGTTAAGATCTGTACGTCACCCTGTTTTTCTTTCGTCTGTGTGTGTGTTTTATTTGTTTCCATCATTGTTAAAACATTTGGATTGTTAGTGAAGCACCAGAAAATGATTGTTACATGAGGCAGCAAACAGGACCCCCAAGACATCAGCAACTGTTTAGTGGAGAATCTCACCTTAAATAAATACTCTTGATGAGTTAACGTGAGTTTGAGCGAGATGACCGTAATAATCACATAATCACAACAGCCAGCTTCTGACACCTCTCAGACCTTCCCTTGGATATCTTCTCTGATCAGCCTTTATCAGAGCAGTAAATTCAACCTGCTAAGGAAATCCATATGCTAGTCCTGTTATCAGATGAGTGGGTGTGATTTAAGACTATCTTCTATCGGTTTTCAGCATACTTTACGTGCAGCGATACACCCTCAGCTGCACGCAATCACACAAACAACACACCGAAAACAGGACAGCATCGTGTTGTCCGAGCATAATAAATGATTCTGGATGTCGGGGGGGGAGGTGTAAAACAAAAGTAATTAAAAGGAGCTGAAGGGCCCCCAAGCTCAGAGCACTTGATTAATAATGCCTTTCAGCCCAGAGGGCTCAACAAGAGAGAGAAACATGGAGAGAAAGAGAGGGAGAGAGAGAGGGAGAAACAGAGAGAGAGAGGGAGAGAAAGAGAGAGAGAGAGAGAGAAACAGAGAGAGAGAGGGAGAGAAAGAGAGAGAGAGAGAGGGAGAAACAGAGAGAGGGAGAAACAGAGAGAGGGAGAGAAAGAGAGAGAGAGAGGGAGAGAGAGGGAGAAACAGAGGGAGAAACAGAGGGAGAGAAAGAGGGAGAGGCAAATTAGTATGTCATTTACCTGTCCTAAACCTCTGGGGATAGTGGAATTATTGGGTTAAGATAAATGGATGAAGAGGTTAGGCATGATAAGTATATACCAGAGAGGGGAAATTAATAAGGGAGTGTATTTTTCTTGCTTTACAGTAGATCAATACAAATGATTGGTTTATGTGACACGTCATACAGCCGACCGTAAATTTGAGGGAATTCTTTGAAGCTTCTAATGCGTTAATAAATCTGCACCTGACCAAAGAATCGAATATCTCTGGTGGGCATCCTTCTTCATATCATTGAAATCAGCAAAGATAGATGTTCCCCGTTCGAATCCGTATCGCCGCAAACATTCAGATAATTCCCTCGGCGTGAGCTTTCTGTGCGAATAAAAGAGCGTCTCTTACAAACACCTAAAGTCATGTTCTGTTAGGGAAAGCAGAAATCAAGACTCCGCGCCGTAATGACGGAGTGGGAGGACTGCTGACCTCAGCAAGCAATTAGGTGCAGACTGTTGGCTGACTGGCACCCTGTCGGGGGGAATTGTGTGTGTGTGTGTGTGTGTGTGTGTGTGTGTGTGTGTGTGTGTGT